AAACGCTATGAGAGACTCACATACCTTGTAGGGATCCCCCCGACGAAATTCATAAGCAAATCTCCAAGAAATCGACGAATCTTGAACGTTATTCTTCTTTCTCCTCTTTTTTTCTCTTCTCTCAAAACCCTAACCCTTTTTCCAAAAGGGTAAACTGATCTAATTTAGCTTAGGCCCCTAATTAATTAAAAAAATGAATCAAAATAAAAGGGTAAGGAAAAGACCAAACTACCCTTTAAAAATCCGGATTGGGCTTTCCTTATTCCAATATTCCAACTTCCAAACGTGATAACTCACCCATACGAACTCGGATTTGCTCAAATTTGGTGGCGTTGGAAAGATCATTCCAAGATCTTTCCAACCATAACTAGAATTACACCTAAATCATCCTGATCTAGAAGTTATGGCCGTTTGAAGTTGACCAAAAACTCAACTTTTCCTAACTTAACCAAATTTCCAGATTAATTCTTTCCAAAAATGACTATTTCCAATTATAAGCTTCTTCCTAGTTATTTCAAATTGCGAGATATTACAATTTAATTTCAAAATTTAAGATACCTTATGATATTCCTTCAATTTTGTCTATATAAATTCATATTTTTTGTTTCATAAGATTCCTACCCAAGATTATTATTTTTATTCAATATTTGAAATAGTGATATTCTATATTATTGTTGTAGTATCAGATTTATACTTTAGATGACTCCATGAAAGAGGCTCTTGGATGTGGATAGAAGGGGAGCCAGATAAAAGCTAAAAAATATGTGCATTGATTATGTAATTTTTTTCATCTTTGTTTTTGTAATTAAGGACTTACAAAAAATGTGTTGTTATTTTTCTCTTTTTGCTTACTTTTTCATATGTTCTCTCTATAAAAAAATTTTAAAAAATTTAGGTTCTTATAAATTTTTAAATTGTAGTAAATTACATTTTCATTTAGGCTCAAATTAGTTATTTGTAACTTTGTCACAACTAACTATGCCAATAGACACTCAAATTTACTACTCGTGGCTCAAAAAATTGTATATTAAATATGAAATACATAGTTCTTAGGTGTTTCTTATGGTGAAGAACCACTTACATTTTCTTTAAATTTGTTCACTTCCTCTATTTTTAAAGAATTAGCAAGAAAATAATATAAGATATACACGAAAAATATCAATAGAGGTTTATTTAGATGATGGTGAAATATAAGAGAAAAATATTTATTGAGATAATGAAAGCAAAGATAAAACAAGGTAAAAAATGTTATACCGTATCAGAAGATGAATATAAAGGTAAAACAAGGTAATAATTGGAGATGAACTAGAGACCCGACTTGATACATGAGATTCGACCTTGAGCCCAACTCAAAACCTATCCTTGACTTTAACCTAGACTTAGAGATTCGACCATGACACGGGACTCGAGACTCAATCTCAACCTAGGATCTGAGATCAAACAATAATTCAGAACTCAAGACTCAACCCCAATTTTGATCTAAAATTAGAGACTCAGACCTCTATCCTGATTCGAGACCCAACCTCGACTTGGCATTAAAGTCTTGAGATCTAAACCTTGACCAATAGAAATAATCAAAGTAAATTTCAAAAAATAAATACAAATTAAAGTAAATCTTTAGAGTGGCTAGAATTGGGCTAATATTGAGCTAAAATAAAGATGAGAAAATTGTGCATTATAACAAACTATTAATTCAAAATAAATGTTATAGCTACAATTTCATTTAATTCTAATTTGTAGCAAACACATTGCCATTTTTTCCCCTCTCTCCCCTGAATCTCGCTCGCCTCTCTCACTTTTACACAAACACAAATGTATAAATTGTGTTTGTATAAAGCGAGAGAGACTGTATATACAAATACATATCTCTCTGTCCTATACACTTATAATTAAACTAATACAAATCTTCCCCTGCCCAAATCCCTTTTGTCTTTCTCTTTCTCTCTCGCTTTATACAAACACAAATTATACAAATACAATGTACAATTTTTATTTTTAATTAAAGCGAGAGAGATTTGATATACAAATAAAAAAAATAACTCGATTTAATTGTATACAAATTTAAATTTTATGCAGATATACAAACACAATAATTGATATATATATATATATACACAACTATCTAACCGATATACATATACAATTCACCTTTCTCCACTCTCTGCCCTCTCTCGCTCACATCTCTCCTCTCTCTCCTAATCTCGCTCGCCACTCTAGCCTAATACAAAAAACATATACATATACAAATGCAATTTTCATAGACACAGATGCCCAATTTATACAAATCGCCGCGATTTATACAAATCAGATTGTTCCATAGCAAACATATATGTTTGTTATAGTGTTTGCTATAGAGTGCAAATAGCAAAACTGTAGCTATATAGCGCTAATATGATTTTTATGTTTGTTATTGCTAAAATTTACTCAATAAAGACCACTTTCAAAATGTGTTATGTTAGATTGAATAAAAATAAGCCCATATGAAATTATCTTGTGTCCATTGTCCAACTCGAACCTTTTAAATTTGTATAAATTTTAGGAATCACATATAATATGAAATTACAATATATCCCTATTTAGTTTGTAATTACATTAATTCCTGAAAAAGTAAAACAAATCGGATACATAATATGTAGCACGAATACATTATAAAATAATTTAAAATTAGGAGAGAAATAAGGGATTTTAGAGGTTTTTAGAAATATAAGAGAATATTAGAAACAAGGGAAACATAAGACGTGAATTGAACGGAACATTACTTTTTGGGCCATATTTGACACCCTTATTCATGACCCAATGGTGGATGTTCCGATAAGCACTCTTTTTTTTTTCTTTCTATATGATACAAAATTGGACTCAAATTTATCAAATGTATCGTTTATCAAACATAGCAAAAGTTTTCTCTCAAAATATATACAAAATCAAATTTAGAATCTCGCTCAAAACTTCAAATTTCACTGGCAATTTCATGTATAAATTTTATGTGAAAATATGTACATAATTATATACATAGCGAGAGTTTTCTCTCAAAAATCTAACTTAATTTCGCTGGAGACTTCAAATTTTACTCACGATTTCATTATAAATTTTCTATGAAATATGTATATAGTTGCATAAAAATTGTAAAGTTCATGTTGGTTTCTAAAGGAAAAAATTCTATAAATTCTTAATGAAATATGTATATAATGTATAAGTTTATTTTAAGAGGTATACAAAATTTGATATAGTATGTATAAGATATGTATTAAAATTGTATTACATTGTATTTTTCAAATATCTATTACAACATGCCTCTTAAGAACAAGTTTCATAGAACTAATTATACATTGAACATCTATTTACAACTTCCATACAAATTTTAACAACTACAATAACATACAAACTTAAAATATAATTTTCATATAACTCAAACATAAATTATAATATAAGTTCATTATAATTCAACTGTAACTTCGAATTTCAACAACTAAGACTAAAATTCAGTTCAAAATTGACTTAAATCTTACCTAAATAGCCCCGAATTTTAGATTTGAACTCTCTTCAACGTTTTAGTTCTTTTGAGATATAACCACAGGCAACATGAAAATTGTCGATCATCTCATCACTTAACAATACATTTCTTCTCATGATCGCCTTACGGATTTGTTAACAAAGGCAGGGACACACATATTACATCACTATCTCATCTCCAAATTGCTACTATGTGATCACCGATATCATTTTGAGAAGGATGTTAAACAATGCTATAATTGTATACTTTGCACAAAAGATGATCTTTCTTTGAATAAGAGTCAATTACTGATTGATAGTTATATCAATATATACTCTTTTTCTAGAATAGAACTTTAATCATATAGTAGGAAATCTTATTAGCTTAAAGTCCGTTTGGATTGGCTTAAAAAAAGTATTAGCTTTTAAATCAAAAATAAAAAGTCAAACTTAAATGACTTTTAAGTCAAAAATAAAAAGTAGGGGGAGACCTACTTTTGATTTTTGACTTATTTTAAGTCATGTAAAACTTATTTTATGTCATTTTTTATCTTGTCAAACACTTCCTAACTTGTTTTAAATTTTTTTGACTTATTTTAATTTATTTTTTATATTGGTCAAACACTTCCAAAAGTCAAAAACTGACTTAAAAATAGGTTTGACCAACTTTTAAGTCAATCCAAATATCCTCTTAGTTGGTTGACTATTTGAACTCCAGCCTTATTGGTGAGAGTTTGATTCCCCGCCTCTTAATCCCCTTTCCCCTAGCCCCCAATTAATATTATTTTTTAAAAAGGACTTTAACCCTACAATTGTACAGTACAAGTATTTTGTACTGCATCCTTGAAAATATAGAAGATGGTATTCAGAAAATCTTCATAATTTTATCTGTTGTATGGACAAGATATCTCCATAATTTTTCCAACATCCCCTATCCTATTATGCACATTTGGTAATTAGTTTATAGAGTTTTCATATTGTCTTGTCAAACGATCTTGACCTCACTATCAATCTCTTCTAATCACGAACATAATAAGAATCAATAGTTCATCCAACATTATCAATTATCATCAGAATACACATTCAATTTGTTCATTCCTTTTCTTTAACATCTACAAGAGAAAATGCAAACAAAACGAACCTCGTCCGGTTTCTTCCTATATCTAATTATCCATCCACCCCCTTCAGTCTTTCCAAATTACATCAAGGTTTCCTCCCATTTTCTGAGAATTATACTAATCCTTGTCCAAGATGTAGTGCTGTATATTGCATTCAAATGCAAAGAATCCTCTCAAAACTAGCAAATGATTGAGTTGATCATCTTGCCCACAATACTGTACCTTAACCAGCATAACTGGAGAAACTAGTTATCAATCTGCACTTAACCCTTATGTACAACTTTCTACCCCTAGGCTATGTTGGTATCAACGGAAAATTACACTGTTTATACATGCCTAAAATTACTTTTTTTTTGTATACAGTAGATGTTGAATCCCTTTTCGTTTTTTTTTGTGCATTCACTTCTTCATATATTCAACTCCCTTAGTGAAATTGTGGCTCCGCCAATGCTCTGAATTCCTCCAACCTCATTCTCCATATAATCTGTATCAAACCAATATTGCTCATCCTCAATAATGCGTCTATCGGTCACTTCTCCAAAAGATCTCCTGGTACCATCAGCAGCAGAATCAGTACCTTCTCCAAAGATCATGGCAGGACTTTGGGGAATAGTTACATCTTCTCTAGCCTTGACATTGGTGTCTTCACAAATGCATGCTGATGGATTTTCATGAAACTCGCCCCTGCCTGGCTTTACCTCCATTGGGTCTCCCATGAAACCTATTTGCTGTTTTTGGACATGTGAGGAAAACTCTTCCCAAGTCATGTTATTTCTATCCGTAAACATCTTATAAAGCTTCTTAGCATTTGGACGGATGGTTGGCTTGTGACCGAAGTATCGCCTACAACATGTAATGGATTCCAGTAAATTGAGTATCTCTAACTGAAGCGTTGAAATAAATGCTTTCAAGTTGAAAGTAGCAAGAGCATACCTTCGTCCGGCAAGCATTCGTGCCATATTTCCATTGTTATTTGAAACAAAGACATCACTCTCATCACAAACAATGAAATCTAAAGCAGCCATCCTGGAAGAAAAAGAAGAAAATGGTGCCAGCTCTTCCTTGCTGGCAAGTGTCTCTTTGGTATAAAAATTTGGAAAGAATGCCTTGAGAGGAGCCAACGTCTTCTCGCCCCCATAGATTTCCCCTGATGCAATATAAATATGAACATCTTTACCAAAACCAAGTGCTCTAAGCATAAGGCCAACTTCCTCAGGAGTTAGTGGGCATTTTCCGTTCTTTCTTTCTTTATCTGGATTTGTTACCTGCATTTTATGCCAAAGAAACAACATTGTGTTTAATGTGAGTAGTAGGAGCAACTTACTCGATATTACCAGTTACTATAATAGTTTTATGACATACACGTAATGTCTTCCACCTCTTTCGTATTTTACCCAGTTCTCGTCTTTCCTTGTCTCCTCCACCATAGTAGCATCCAGAGAATGCTAGCATATCTGATTCAAACCTATCATAAGAGAAATAAAACTTCAGCTAGCATATAATAGTGGCGTGGAGAAGTCCACAGTCTACACTAACATGATTAACTTTAAGGTGGCTAAATGAAACTCATTGAATTAAAAAAAAGTAGCACAAAATATAGTCATTCTAGTTTGACACAACTGAATAAGTGCAACAGCAACAAGACTGAGCTTTAGAATTACATCCTATCTAGAGATTGAAAGAGTCATAACGGAGTTCAAAATAGTCTGGATATCTGTTTCTATTGATTGTCAAGTAAGAAAAAAATAACAGCCAGGAAAATCTCGTGAAAGTATCAAATATGCACATTACCTTAGATGCAGCGCAAGGAAGTGCTGGCTTTTCTTTCTTATCCTTTCAACCAATTTTTTTCCCATTTGAATTATGGGATCAGTAAACTTCAGTGCGTGATAGTTGACTCTACATCTCAGCTTCTGTAGCTCCGTATCCAAATGATTGGAGAGTCTGTAATCAAATTTTGTTAACTGAACAGCCTGCATCAGCAAAGCAGATATGCCAGTCTTTCAAAACTTCTAGTCTAGGAAATAAGTTAAACTTGATACAAATGTAGTTAATTTTATTTCCTAATTTCTGTAGCAGAATTTTCAATATGAACACTATAATTTGGAACTGCATCAGTCTTGACTGGAAGAAAAAAAAAATTGAATTTCACAATAATCGGGACATACACATATAAATCAACAAGAAAAGCAGGACACTAACTTAGAGAGACTGCAAGTAATCTTGCAAGAATTTCTGTCAAGGCACCATGTTAAGATGCAAGACACAAGTCAAGCACAATGAAGTAATTCTTACATTAAATTGACTTACATGCTTTTTATTTAAAATTGGCTGGATACGAGTCTGATAACACTCAGCATTGCACTTCCTTGGAACACGTGTTGTGTGCGGAATTATGAGTTCATTTCCCATTCTAGGGAGATCCTTAATAATTTTGACATCCTTTGAGAGATACGAAATAAACCAGTCGACATCAAAAATTTCGGAGAAGTTGCTGCAAAAAAAGGAATGATTACTCCCCCAAAAATGAAGTCACTCAACGAAAGAAAGGATTGATGATAAAATGCATCCAAGTATAAATCATATCAAGTAAAAACCTTGAATCCTTCCAATAGGATTGTTGGTCCAGCTTTGGAATTACAAGGACGGCATTCAAGATATGAGCAGCAACAACAGCATCAATAATCTGCATTCAGCAATAATAGAACTCAAACTCGCATCATTTCAACAATCTCTTCAATGTAACAGTGAAAGAAAAAACTTCCACGCTAAACATCTGTTAATAGCATAAATCCATTAACAATTTAACATGCATGTCACAGATTTAATTTCATTCAAGAAGTGATGGGACACCAAGATGGGCAGGGCATCCCGGTGCACTAAGCTCCCACTATGCGCAGGGTCCGTGGAAGGGCCAGACCACAAGGGTCTATTGTATGCAGCATTCCCTGCATTCCTACAAGAGCCTGTTTTTACAGCTCAAACCCATGACCTCCTGGTCACATGTGACACCATGGTGGTATATGATAAATGTGGCATGAAAAAGAAAAACTAGATCCATTACTAAAGGACAAAAAGCGCATGAAAAAGGAAATAACTGGCTATCAATTTTCTTCAATTTCCCAGTGACTATATGCATCAGATCATTGTTGTTAATTAGTTCTTCTAGGTCAAAGGAAGAATATTTAAAATGAGGTAAACTTATTCAGGAGAAGATTGTCTGCTTCTTTTACTTAGATTTGATGGAATATGAGGTGAAGCTTTCATCACAGTGGTTTTGCTTGGCTGCTCACTCATGTCAATAATTGGTGATTACCTAATTTGAACAAGGTTTGTGAGGGAAGATGCCTCATAGAATCCTGTTAGACATGGTTTAATCCGCGGCAGGAAAACCTTGGGATTTAAGATTCGATGTGTTTCAACATGTAAAGGTTGTATTTTACCTTATTTTAGTTGTTTATTTCTCAACAGCTACAAAAGTCACAACTTGGAGTAAGTATATATACTCAAAAATGTCATGGGGAAGATGCACTCGTAACTAGGAATTCAAATACTAGAAGATCCCGTTGAAATGACTAAGATAGCATATCTTGCAAAATAGTAACATATCAACGAAAGAGCCATTTCCATCAATTGCTACTATAAGTATGAAATTAAATACTAGCGTCTGTCCATGTTATTGATCTTCTATTAGTGAAAAATTATCAGTTACAGGACAAGAGCAATACCCCTGTTCTCTGTTGATTCAAGCCTCCACTAGTTGCAATCAACAAGTACCTATTAGGAAGTGTATTAACCTCAGCAGCTGCAAAATGTTATCAGGTCCCATATCAAACAGATAGAAACAGATGCAGAGACGAATCTAGAATTTGAATTTTATGGGTTCAGATTCTTAATTCTACCACCTTCATCAGTATAAGTGCCATTTTCAAATGAGCCCATAGATTGTTCACTGGATATGAAAAAAATTACACTTATACTGATTGTTAAGGCCATTATAATTTGCTATGACAACGACAAGCCATATAAATACACAGCAGAGTACCTCTGCCCCACCCGCCCCCCCCCCAAAACCACCCACCCACACACACCAGCCCGCCTCCCTCATTAGCAATTAATGATGAAAATGAGCAATCAATTGGATTGGAAACCTAAAAAAGGGAAAACCACTCACTTGGAAACTCGTCACTGGCAATACTGCAACCATGGTAGATATTCGATTTCTTCGAATTCCATATATCTCGGCTTAATCTCCCTTCTCCCATCTATCAACGCCGAGGATAAATCAACCACGAAAAATCAAATCAAACAAACAAAAACTCATGATCGAAATGTAAAATCCGTAACGCTCACTCACTGGTTCCTGAATCACTTGTTCTTCAAGCAGGTTCCTTCGGGGCTCCGTTCCATTATAGAACTATAATGGCAACACAAAACTAATCAAAAACACAAAAAAAAAAACAGATATAACTTTTTTCCTAACGTAACCAACATTTCGTGCTTCTCACCAAGCTGATGAACTGATCATGGCGGCTATCAATTGGAGGAGCTATATAAGACATCAACACAAATAGAATGAGAACAACAACGGATAAAGCAGTAAAAAAAGGAACAAACTGGAAAATGTTGCTCCGTCTCCGGCATAGAAGAATGATCGGAAATCCTACAAACACCGCCGTTTCACGGTGATGTTTTCTGTTCTTCATGTTTCATAAAAATCTTAAGAATCGATCAATATCGCCGGTAATTCAACGAACTCAGGGAGCTAACAATCTGCTCGGAGTCTCCGCCTCCGACGATAACAGAAAATATATTTGCAGGTAACGTATAATGTGTTGTGTTATATATGCTTACAACAACTAATTAATACGTATTTATCTGTTTAATTTGTTTAATCCTTAATTAATTAGTAAAAAATAAGTGTAGCCCTCGACTAAATCGCACCTAAAATCTTAGTTAATACAATATTAAGAGTAGTCACATTTATCATGACTTTCTATTTTGAATTGATCTGCAGGGAGTATAACAATACGGACAAATCTGCATGAACTTCATTTGTCCTTTTTGTTCCTTTCGTATTAATTTGTTTCACTTCTTTTTTAGTCCGTTTAAAAAAAAATACGAAAAAAATTAAAATTCTCACGCTGCGGTTTCAATTGAGATTGGGGTTGATATAGTTGAGGACTTAAAATCCTCATGTTAGTTGTTCTATTTACTATAGTCGGAGACTCTAAATTCTTGGTAATCAATATTTGAATTTTTTTTCTTTCTTAGCAACTCTTTTATTTCAATTTCTTACCTGACATATTTAACATCATAAGATTAAAAGACATTTTGATACATTTAACATATTTTTAATTTTATACCACAAAATTTTAAAAACAAAAAATGAATTACCTCTTTTATTTTCAAGTTTGAATGGAGTGGGAGTATGAAAAGGATCAAATAAACCTTTGGATTTTATTAGAAATTAGAAGTAACAAATATACTCTTATATAGAAATTTTTTAATTAAATTAAATCTATTATTTTCGTTAGATAAAAAAAAGTATATTTGAATCGTTTGTATGATGATAGAGTTACATTTTAACTACTTTTACAACGGAATTTTAAAAAATATAACAGACCATTTTTTATTAATTTAATTTGATAATGTAAAATAAATACAGTTCATTTTTTGTTTATAAACAAACAATAGAATTGGTCTTCGTAGCCATTGGCGGAACAAAATATTGTTGAGTATTTTGTGCTTATCAATTATCACTTTCTTTTTGTGATAAGTAAAAAATTGCTTATATTTCTCAAAAACTATATTGATATGTACTTCATCTGTTTTAATATGTGTGAAGGCGTTTCGAATATGATGGTCAAAAAAATTAAATTTGATTATAGATTGAGTCAAATGCTTTTAATTTTTTATAATAAAATTTACTCACTTAAAATGTAAATGAAATATACTATACATTAGCATAGGTAATAATTCAAAACATTTTAAGAAAAAATTGAAGACATTATAGTCAAAGAAAAAATTGTTTAATTCCCTAAATAACAAAATCTTCCTATAAAAAAATTAAATGTGTACCTAGTCTTACTTGTTATTGAATCTATCATTAATTATGTAAAAAACTCATGCTTTGGAGTATTTTTGTATCCCTTGCCAAGCCCTAGTAATCAAATACGCTTTTATTCTATTTCAATTTGATTGAACCCAAAATAATGAAAATTTTAAATATTGTTATTTGAATTATGATATTTATGTAATTTTAAAATTAATAAAACTAAAAAAGTAACAATATTTATGTTACTATAAAAACTTTTAAAAAAATAATAATAGAAATATTTCATTTGTTTTAACGGATTAATAAAGAATTAGAGTCGACCAAAGTGAACGAAGGGGATAAGATAAAAGATTTTGCTGCAATTATTTGCGATAATAATATAATTGTTGTTATATTATACTTATCATTAATAATAAATATGTGTATTAATAATCAACACACTATATAAATGTCTTAGCGACTTTGGATGCGATGACATTAACTCAATTATTATAAAATATTTTTGCAGCAATATCTTTAAAAAAAAATTATTGTCGTTAAATGTTTCTTTTGTTATAGCGAAAACATTAAAAAATATTCTCACCAGCTCAAATTATTCATAGTAATTTTTAAAATAGTTATTTCAAGTTACTTTTCATTTTAGAAGGTCAAGACTAAATTAATTTTTTTCCTCATTTTATTCTTAATAGTATTTATTTTTGAAGACTAAAAATAACTCAATAAGATATAAATGAGGATAAACCCCCTCAACTTAATCAATATTTTTGCTAAAGAAAGGTTCCATTAGATAATTTGACACAGAATAAGTATATGAGAACTTATATACATGGTGTTTGTTGAACAAAGACATAGATAGAAATAGAGAAAATTATGTTATCAGGTAAATATGTGATATGTATTTATAATATATTATTATATTTTATAAAAATTACAATTTATAGATATAGTTAGAATTTTGTTGCTATTTTCTCTCTCCTCTATTCCTTTCTACATAGCCTCTCTTTTTGCATTCTTGCTCGCTTCTATCTTCTCTCTCTGTCATATCTCTCCCACGACTCTCTCAGCCTCCTCTCCCTCAATATAAATACAAATTATAACAATCAATTATACAAATATAAATATTAACAGTCAATTATACAAATACAAACGATAACAATTAATTATACAAATGATAAGTGTCAACTACACAAATCTTTTTCACATGTATTTGCTGATAAAACATTGATACAAATGATAACAATCAATTATACAAATTCAAATGTTGAACTTGATACAACATTTATACAATTGTATTCGGATACAAATTGTATATGTTAATACAATTGATACAGTATTGATACAAATGATAATAATCTATTATACAAATATAAATATTGAACTTGATATAACATGATATAATTGTATTCGCTGATACAATTTATTCATTGATACAAATTGTATTTGTTAACACAATTGTATTCATTGATACATAGTTACATATATACAATTATCCACATATATATAAATATAATTATTAATACATATACATACTAGTTACATATAATATATAATTATCCAACAGATGTACAAATACAATCATTGATACATATACATACAAGTTACATATATATATACAAATATTCAGCAAATATGCAAATACAATTAGTCTCTCTGCTCTCTCTTACTCACCTCTCTCCTTCCTCTCTCAATCTCGCTAGCATCTTTCCTCTTATAACATACAACTACGAATCGTAACCAAACAAACTATAGCTATTTTGTCTTTTATAGTCATAGATATTTTTGGAATTTCCTCATCCAAATATGAATACACACGAGGATGATTAGTTTATGAATTTGGGGTGGGCGTTTAACGGATAAGCTGTCAAATTGTTTGGTGTTAGATATAGATGGCGATGATTTAACATCCTAATTAGGATTAATTGGAAAAGATTAATTTGGGACTAGCAATTGTGACATCTACTCTACTTATTTTGTACTCCCTCCATCCCACGGTAACACGATTCGAAATTCGAGAATTAAACTATGTAATTTTTTTATATGAATTATATATGTAATATTATTATTCTTTAAAATAAAATTTATATATTTAAAAATGTAAAAGTTATATGAAATATAGTTAAAAAGAATAACTTTGGTTTTTCAAATTGTAATTGTGTGTATTTTGTGGGGGTGGACCCACATACACCCTTCGGGGTGCTCCAGCACCTATTAATCTCGACATAAAATTATTTATATATAGTAGTAATTTGTTTAAAAATTGACTATATTAAACGTTCAGCACTTGGTGAACAAATCTCATAATGGGTGCTTTGGTTTTGTAGCTAGTTTGAAGGCTTTGTGTCTAGGGGAAGTCAGGTTCGATTCTCGCTAATAACAACTATTTACTCATTTTCTAATTTCCTCTTTCCCTCTCAATATAAACTCACATGTTTTTTCCTTTTTGGTGAAATGACAAAATTAAAAAGTCATGTCCAATTACTTTTCTTATTTTTCTTGAGAAATTTTGGCTATTTGATTAAGAAAACCTTCAAGCTAAAAAAGATTTTTTTTTTTATGATAGTATTAATCTTATTTTTCCTCATTAATATTTTAAATATTGTGTTTAAATAATTGTGCACTTATACTATGTGATTTATAATAATTTTATATCAAAAGAAGTGAGCTCTTATAAATTAACAATCCTGAATTCGCCAGTGATATTTTATCGACATAAAGTAGGACAAATAGAGCAAGTGGATTTGTATATTGTCAAGACGTGCGATATTCATTAAATTATCTCATTTCAACGTAAGCTAGAGTTGTTTGTTGAAAATTGGAATCATGTAATATACTATATTAGTACACCAAACTTAAAACTATTTTATTTTTTTGAAGGGTTTGGTCAACTGTTATATGAGGCCGTTGACACTCCACAATCATTCATAATTAATGTTGAATGAATTACTAGTTGATCTTTCAATTTTCATTCATAATTAGTAGGTCTCGAGTTTGAGTTTTGTGTATAATTATTTTTTTGATTGAAAGTGGTTTTCTTCGAATGGAGTCCTATTGATGTGAATTGGAATAGTCGAATTCTAATGTGAATATCGGATACCGAACATGGATGAGATGGGAAAAAAATTGATCTTTTCAATTCCAATAATCATTAGTTATTCTTGTAATTTACTACTCAAATATCCTTTTATTTTTATTTATCCATATTTAACTTGGCACAACCCTTAAAAAACAATAAATAGATAGGTAATTAGACTACATCAGTTGTATTAATTATAAGCCATCTAAATATTAAAAAATGAATTGTATTTAATAGTAAAGGTAAAAAAGACACAAAATGGTAAATTATCTCTTGATTTTTTAAACTAAACAAATAAAGTTGAACAACTATTTTTAGTATATTGGACAAGTAAAGATATACGGAAGGAGTAATTTTCTCTTTTAATCATTAATTATCCTTAATGTGTAATTGTGCACGGTTTGTGAACATATATGGTATATCTTAATTGTGTTGGAGCTCGACTAATTCAAATTTGTGTTAGGTAAGATCCTATTCGAAGGATAACGCTTCTTAACAAGGATTTTTTCATATTTAAAGCTCAAGTCTAAGACCTCTAATTAAGAAAGGAACTATTACTTGTACCACATGTTAAGATAGTATATAAATATAGATATATTGTGATTCAATTGCGCATATATGGAGTTTGGCCAAATGTAGATAAAAAGAGAAGGAGTCAGAAAAGTAGAATAATTATTGGTGGTGAGAACATGCAAACCAGTCAGATTCATATGTCCTAAATATATCAACAAGGGTTATGGTAAATGGACGAATAAGTATTTTTTCATTCTTAATTAGAGTTTTGTGTTCGAGTCCTTTTAGGTACAGAGTTATCTTTGTTAGAAAGTGTTTTATTCTCAACATGAGACATTTCGATGTAAATTCAAATTTAATCAAACTCTAATATGAGTAAGGAACACTGGATGAGAAATCAAAAAAATAAACATATGTCCTAAAAATATAGTGGATTAGTTTATTAAGGAGCATAATGTAATTGCCAATTTTTAAGTTGTGGCTAAAATTTTGAACACTTTGCAAATGTTGGCTAAGTTTTAAACAACTACCGTAAAAGGTGCTACCTGATGCCATTTTCACTTCCCGAGCCTTGATCTGCCTTGGGCCACTTTTAAGTCTATGATGAAAACAAAAAAATGAGTGGAATCGTCAGTTGTTTGAACTTTTTTTTTCTCACCTAGTGTCGAATACTCACATTCGAGTCAATTAATCCAGACTCAACGTTGGGATAGGGCTCCGTGGTAGCACTTTCTATCATGGATTTTTCCATGTATGAAATATCTTATTAAAGAAGCAACTTCATTCACTTCACTACATCCCTAAGTGGTCAGTTTTTAAATTTATAATCAAAGATTAGCCATTATTTTGGAAGTTGGTTAGAAAATAGTTACTTTTTCATGTGAAATAATATTTGCACAAAGATTATTTTTAGCTAAAACACTAACCAGTCCCAGCACCTGTTGGAGTTCAAAGTTTTGGAAAGTAAAATTCTAGCATAATATGTTGAAGTTTCAAATCATGAGGCCTCGGGTTCAAGCCCCTTGAGTACAGAGTCACCTTTGTTAGGGAGTTATTCAGGGACTTCCCGGGGCAAATCCGAATTTAGTCGGACTGTGGGTACCGGACACCGATGGAATTTGGGAAACAAAAAAAAAAAGGTATTATGAGTGAAACAACGATAAAGTATATTAAAATAGGTATCATGAGTGAAATAAACATGTATAATATAATATGTGAGAAGATTATTTTACCCAAGATACTTCTTCTGAATTCAAAGATAATGTCTTGTAGTTTCAACTTCAACAAATTCAAACTCATTGAAACTATTCAAAACATCATGATTGTGTCTTGGAGTTTGAAAAAAATCTGGCTATAAAAATTGCAGCAAAACAATTCTAAAATAAATTTTTGGGCTAGAACTCCAGCATAGTGTGTTGGAATTTCACGTACTTTTTACACTTGTAAGAGATCTAGTCACGAACTATAACGAAGTGTAAATGAAATTTCACTAGTAAGAGCTACAGAAATCTTTTTCATAATTAAGCTCATGTTTGGTCATAGATTTTAGTTTTTTATTGTTTTAAAAAAGTTGATTTGAGTGAAGTTTTTATTGAAGTTGAATGTGTTTGACCGCATGGCGCAGACATATTTAATTTATTTATCCAAAAAACATGAAACATGACTTATACAATTATATCCATGAGTTCTAAACACTATTAGGGGTCATTTGATTGAGAACAGGTACCCCAAAGCAATTAATAGTACGATATGTTATTATCTCTTGATTGAGAAAAAGTACCCCAAAGCAATTAATCGCACAATATGTTATTTCGAGATAAGTTATTCCACCAAATATATGGGATAACTTATTCCATCACTATGACAAAAATGTTAGTGATAAATTATCCAATTACCTAATACCTCCAACCAAATGTGAAATAAAATAATCCATACATTTTTTCCTTAAATTATTATACCTTATACCTCACACCAACGACTCCTATAATAGCTAACTAAGTCGGTCCTTCTAGCTTACCGGGGAAGGGAGCAAACAACCATGAACCATTTGACATGTTTCGGCAAACAAGCCATACAAACTGTTCTTGAGCTCAAAAGTTGGTATCAAATTTATTCACCTTCATTACAAAAAAAACATTCTATAGGAAATAAATGGCTATAAGCTTGTAAAATCCTGTTTCTTACAGTAATATTTCCACTTGGGAGATTCACGTTATTTTGTGAAATGTGCCATCTTGAAAGGCATGGTGCACCAACAGAAGTAGGAAACAATTGGAGTCATCGCAAGGATGATAAATTAAAAACATGTTGCAGCATGATTAATCTCGAGTACGGAAGATATGGGAGTGGGTTTAGAAATTAGTTCAGATTTGCAATGACAGCATCCGTGATTTCTTGGGTGGTGCAGTCTCCACCAAGATCCTTGGTCATGTATTTACCTTCGGCAATTACACGCTTCACTGAAGTCTCTAGTCTATCTGCAAATGAAGGGAACTGCAGATGTCTCAACATCATGGCTGATGAAAGAAACAAGGCAATTGGGTTTGCCTTCTTTTGCTCTAGTATCTTGTCATTTCCTACATTTCCTGCTGAAGCACCTTGCTCAAACACCGCATGGTCAGCCCCCACGTTGCCTGATCCACAAGAAGCCAGCCATATAAGTCACATTTAGACCTTCTTCGAGCTTTAAAGCAGCTCAAAAGATGAATATGATCATTTTATATCAAAATTGACCAGATAATCCTACAGAGTAGAGGGGATGTAATAATATGCAGAAATTTTTTTTGAAACATATCCACATCAATTTAGAGAGAACAAATTCTAACTGTCACTTAAATGTACCTCCTGGCATAACACCTGTGCCTCCAGCAATACCAGCTGCTGTATTTGCTACCAGATTTCCATAGAGATTAGGGGTGACCTGTGATATACAACTTCAAATTCATATCCAGACTGAAACATTTAGTGACAATGTAATGTCAAGAAAAGCGCACACTGTGAACAGAATACAAAAGTAGGTTCCTGTCATGCAATATGGATAAGGATTACAAAATCTATTCTGTAAACTTCCAAACTTGTTAAATACCAGCAAGACAAAAGTGCTGTTATATTTCACATTTCAGCAACCTAAAGTAAGAATTTCATCTTTTCATTTGCTGGAACTCTCAATCCTTTTACCCATCCTAATAGCAAGAGAAAGAGAGAAGGATAAATATGCTAAAAGGTCAGCCCAGCATTGTAGTTTAACTAGTCTAACATGTGATGTTTAGCCTAGCAATCACCAGGGTCCTAATACTCCGACTTGTATAAGAAGCTTTTAGCTCTCTATCCCTGCTCCCCTCCCCTACCCCAACCCCAAAAAGACTTCCATTTTTTCAGGATGAAATGAGAAGTCCAAATAGAGAAGAAATTGCATACAGCTTTACCATCATGCAGGAAAACTCACCGTGTCAGTAATCAAACATCAACAAAAAAAGAGAACGATCAAGAATCTTAAATAGAAGAGAGTAATAGGCAGAACTTGTACCATAACATCAAATTGCTCAGGCTTTGATACAAGTTGCATGCAACAGTTGTCCACAATGATCTCATTGTATTTGATCCCAGGGTATTTGCTTGCGATCTCTCGACAAGACTCTAAAAATAAACCATCTGCAAGTTTCATAATGTTTGCTTTGTGCACAGCAGTCACTACCTTGCGATTGTTGAGGTATGCATATTCAAAGGCATATTTAGCAATTCGTTCTGAGCAAAACTTTGTCATCACCTAGAAAATTCACATACCAAAGATAATAACAATAAGAATCTGCAAGAAAGAAAATGTTGGACGGCTCTTAAAGTTAAACAGGAAACCGCAAAAGATAGTATAAAGAACTTGAGAAGAATCATCCGGTCTATTGGGAGTAATTAAAATTTATCCTAAAAAAGGAAAGAAGTTGAGAAAAAATGGCCCATAATGTCCTTACACTTAAAGCCCCAGGGGAATTAAAAATAAAAAGAGGGGGAAGAAACTCTTGAGCACACAGGCAAAGAAAAGTACATAGGGACCACTGAACAAGTACTCCACAACAAAATAATTGGAAAAAGCAAAAAAATGTAACAAACCGTCCCAGCTTGGAAATTGCAACAGCGAGACAAACAAAGTTGCTATGGAAATATTGCAACAGGCAGATGATGGAGTTGACAATTCAAAGATCCTCTAAAAGCAAGCACGAGCTAGGTCCTAATCTAATGAAAATGTTACTCGTTACAGTAAGTTTACCAACTTACAAGAAAAATCAAGGGATGAGCAAAGAATGATCGCACCAGATCTCAGGTAAAAAGACTCTAGTGATTGATTTGTACATCAATATTAGATTCAGATGTGTAATTAAACTGTCTTGCAAACTACTTTAAAACCTGGATATGTTATCTGGTTTAGACAAATATCATTTAGATAATCTTAGCATATGATGTACTTGAACATTTAGATAATCTTAGCATATGATGTACTTGAACTAGTTCTTTTCATTACAACACTGGCACAGAATATCTCTGGCTGTGCTGCACAGAATATGTTAGGTGCTGGTTAACAACACAAAATGTAATATTTTGGGCCTTAACATAGAAATTTTGACACAAAGAGAGAAGGAGAGTATGTTCAGAAGATAAAGTAAGAAAGAAACTCTTGAAGAATAACAGAGAAACCCAAAGGCTGAGTTTGTTCATACATTAAGGCAAAACAACCAAGAAAGAAACGTGATAGAACTATACACTTCTCAGCAACAAATTGGACATCTGATAATGAACAAAATTATACATGAGCAACTTATCTAACAGGAGATTGAACATCTGGTAACAAACAAAATTATACATGAGCAACTTATCTAACAGGAGATTGGCAAATCACTAAGAAATACGAAACACTAGCACTTTTCTCATAGAATCATTTCAATACGAACAAGTGTAACAGAGCCCTTTCAACTATTTAACTTGTGGCAACATACTCCTTCCAACTCTATTTTCCCCAAATGCCTCTCCAAACGATGACAAGTTTACCTTTAGTTAGCTTCACTACAGCAACTATGAAGTTTATGGGCATAGACATTATCACTTTTACCTCTTCTTGGCAATGATTCAAGGTCCAACATTCCAGGAACATCCCTCCCCCTCCTTCAGATCACCTTTTCTAACTCGTCCTCCTTCCTCCCAACCATCCTCCCCCCAAAAACAGAATTGATGCTGCCGTTCAACTCTTTTTTTATTACCTTAAAATAAAAAAACACATTGCGTGAATAAGAAGTTATTTCAATTACATTTTCACTTTTACCTCTTCTTGTCAATCTTTTTCTAGGTCCTCCTCATTCATCTCATCCTCACCCCCCACACCCCAAGACAGAACTAGTGCCGCTGTTCGACTCATTTTTTATCACCTTAAAACAAAAGTCACATTTGCGTAAATTAAAATTTATTTCCATTCTCTTCCACATCCATTGGCTTTGCCAATATAAATTGTTCAGTGTTAATTTACAAGCATTCAGAAAAGGAAGAAAGTACTTGGTGAAGACGAAGAAGAAGAAAAGAAAGAAGCAAGAAAGGGGAAGAAAACACGAGAAACTATTATTTTCTTTGTTTTCCCTTGAATTCTTAGAGTTGTCTAACTTTCAAAATTTACTCATTCAAAGAAGTACATGACAAACTTTCTCATCCACTTTCAAACAGAATTTTACTGGAGAGGGCCTTTTTATTAATTTTGACGATTGGATCTCTCTATGAATGGAAAGGGGGTGCTTCAGACGGGTTGCTAATTATCCAATAGTCAAAGGGTCAATAAGAGAAACAAACTCCCAATGCTCCAATATATATGACTCTTTGATTTTTGGATATTTCCAAATGTTTGACACCATTCTATCTTTATACAACTTACAACTATTAAGAATTCAAATACATGAAGCTATTCAAACTTTGAACTTTTACCTTTAATTTTCTCCAGCATACTAACTTTTCAACCATTACTTAAATAATTTCTTCCACTAAATAAATTGACGGCCCCCCAAACATGGAACGATATTTCATTTTGGCACCTCATCTTGAGGTCGTCATATATAGTTCCATTTTTTCTGGTTAATTATAAACCCACTTAAAACTTTCTGTGAGAAGATGATGCCTGAAACATGGAAATTTCAAGAGAAAGTCCGATGATTGCTTCTCTGCTTTCTGAGCTAGTTTCTTGATTTACTCGTGTCTGTTCGAATACTAAGCATGGATAACCCAGTTGTGGTGTAGTTCTGGTGTCTGTCCAACTGTTGTTATTTGGTTGGTTGCTTGTCAGTGACTGTTTTGTGGTTCTATTTCATTTAAAAACTGGCAGTGAGTGAGATTACGAAATGAGAAAGGAGCTGGAAGTTTTAAAATAAAAGGTTTATACGGAATGGTGGAAAATGGAGTGGAAGAGGAGGTTAACAGAGGGGGCGAATATTTGGCACATCACATACATGGAATATGCATGAGACTAGAAAACCGCCCGGAAGAAGATGTAAAAAAATCTATGTAAGCCAATCTCGGTTGCATGGAATAAAGGACTTGGAAGAAGAGGAGGAGGGAGGGGGGGGGGTGAGGGGAAGAAAAAAGTAGAATTGGAATAGCCACGTGTACTCTTTCATTTGTTCCCTTGCCACTTCACAACATTTATAGCCTTTTTTGCCAAACTTGTAAAATCAGCTTATTTTGTAAAAAGTGCTTTTCAAAAAGTACTTTGGTGAAAAGCAATTTGGATTTGGCTAATAAATTTTTTTAGAAGCACTTTTGAGCCGTTGTTAGCTTTTGGCCAAGCTTTTAAAAGTGCTTCTAATATTTTCTCAAAAGCGTTTCCCGAAAAAGTACATAAAAACACTTTGGCCTTGGAAAAGCCTGACCAAACTGGTTATTAAACTACATGTGATTGGCCTTTTTGGACTAATTGTTCATTACGTGTTCAATAGACACATATTTGACAAATTAAAGTGTTCAATAGGTACAACCCCAAGATAAGATGTCAATATGAAATATTATGCCAAATTCGAGGGCCGTCGATATATTTGGCCTATACTATATAAGCCAAAATAACATCATATACTCCATGTCCACCATCATATTAAATGAAACAAAGAAACTATTTAGTTTAAGGAAGTTGCCACAAAAAGATAGTTAGGACCTCAAAGGTACTTTTTTTTTTTTTTGATTACCGAGAAATCCATCTGTGACCCACCCTTTGGACCAATCACAGCCTTCTAAACTCGGTGGATAATGGGCCCGCCCCTCTACCCTTCTCCACTTAAATACCAGGCTTCGCTTTGCATGGTGACCTCAATGGTACTTTCCCTTTTTATAAACAACACTTATGGATATATATGACTCAACTTATTTAAAAATTAAAATTTTCATTCATTTAATATCATAAAAGTGCACCTCATGGTTGTATTATGTTTAGAATGGAAATCACCACAATGTTTTAACAAGTATGACCGCATACAGTTTGGGTACGTTGATAGGTAGATGAGGAAAAGAGTCATCTTGAGATGACCTACGATGAGCTCATATTACAGCCTACTTTATGGAGGTGACTCAAGACCCTTATGGATCTAGAGCACCAGAAAAAGAGGAGTTCTTCATGGTGTGCGAGTACGATGTAAAGTTATGACTCTAAGTTTCACAACCATACCAGAGGTCAGGCACGCTTGACTGAGCAACCATAGGTAATAGTTAAGAATTAGGACAAAGTGTTGAATTCTACTTAATCTCAAAAAAGTGTTGGAACTCTAGAGGCCTAACCCCAATTATTTTGAATTGTATTTTCACTTAGAATCTATAATGACATTGACAGTTAAGTGTTTTCCCCTAGCTTGTGATAAGAGTCAATGTGATGGTTCTCTGCGGTGACCTGAACTATTTGATCGGATACCATCAGAATGGTGTTTACTATCAATTTGCAGAGTTAAAAACAGATCAAGTACGTGCGAAGAGCAGCAGAATAGTGCATCATTGCAGCAGGACCTACAACTAAAGCTATATGGGCCATCAACATAGACTTTTGTTCTTGCTCTGTATAAGCACTTTGGTCTCCATCCGAAATTGTAAAAACACAGTTCCTTTTGTTGTAGGAGTAGGCAGAACCAGATGCTTAGCACTGTTCAGACTTTCTCGGAAAATGTTTAAGGTTTCTTTAGGCTTTTCCTCCAACATCTATTAGAACAATCCTAATAATATAACGTATTGAGTTCAACCATGGGCCTCCATTTTCTGAGAGGGTAATAAACAAAGTAGAATCTTAGAAAGTATGGGACTAAACTCAGCTGGTATACAATTTGAAATCCTACTAAGGATGAGGATTTGGGTCTTCAAATCCAGGAAGGGGAGAATTGATATTATCCAGAATGATTCTGTCTATCACACGACAAGGATAAGCTTTGGACTAGATGGGTCTAAATCTCGTTAAAAGACAAGGATATGCCTTCAATCTCCCTAACTTGTTTGCAACTTCTGTATAAATAAAATACCTTCTACATTACAGGAAGTAAAAGTAGACAATTCTTATGACCCTCAACACTCAGTTGCCTTAATCTACTTTAAAATCCAGTTGATGAAGCCTTCTAAGTGTAGGTTCTCTTTGGTTTTCAATTAATCCAAGCCTCTAGTCACTTCATTCTGCTGCCATTTCCATTTGCTCTAAATGTCTAAGATAAGGTTGATATCAATATAGCACCAAAACCTCTTTGATTACCTAAAAGAATTACTACTTGACATTGCATGAATATTATTCCAAAAACAACGATCCTACACAAAACACTACACGTTTAAAACCAAGTCAAGCTCAGAATAAACAAGTAGTGAATAAAGGTGAAAGTAAGAGTACCTTCAGACTCTCTACAACACCGGGAACAACCTCATGCTCCAATCCCGAATATTCCCCCTCAGTATTCTCCCTAATAACAACAATATCAACGTTCTCATGACGCGTAGGAAGGCCTTTCAAGTTGAAGCAGTGAACAAGGGAAGCATATAGATCAAGCTCTTTCCTAAGCTGAACATTGAGAGAGCTAACACCACCACCCACGGGTGTCTTCAACCCTCCTTTTAAACAGACCTTATTCTTCCGGATCGAATCCATCACATCCGGAGGCATACTCTTCATATCTCCATGAACATCATAACGCTCAAAGTATACAGGAGCGTGCATCGCCTCCATGACTTGTTCAACAGCACCAGTTACTAGAGGTCCGATCCCGTCACCGGGGATGAGTGTGACGGCGCGTGGGGTGCCATCGCCGGGTCGGGGCATATAGGTGACGGATCGGATGGATGTTAAGGCATGGGATGGAGAGGGAGATGGAGATGGGGAGGTGAGGAAGTGCTTGAGGATGGGTAGGGTTCGCTTGGCCATTGATCGGAAAATGGTTGAGGAAGTTTGACTATTGGGGCATGGAAAATAGGGTGGGAGCTGATGAGGAAGGGAAGAGACGGGTGATGAAAGGGGAAAAGGGAAAAAGGGAAGGAAAGGAGGAGGAAAAAGGAGATGCCGGAAAACTGACCACTGACGGCCCACGAGAGCAAGGGAGGGGCAATGTCAAGTGTCAACTAGTAATTTTTTAACGTCTGATACCAATTCCGTTTGTACATAACATACTGACGTTTATTTTTTGTCAAATTGTCAATATGGTGCTATTTGGATTTTAAATTTTAAATTTTAAATTTGTGTTTGTTTAAGATAAATTCAAATGAAATTTAATTTCAAAATACTTCACATAAACATGTAATTTAACTTGGTTTCAATTGACATTTACACCCTCCAATTTTGAGTGTGTACAAATAGGCACTTGAATTTGGATAAAATTGAACAAATAGACACATTCATCCTACGTGGCATTCTACATGACAATTTTGTGTCATGTGTGGCGTTTTTACATGTATTATGTTACGTAAGACGTGTGTGTCTACTTGTTCCATTTTATGATAGTTTAAGTATTTATTTGTGCAGCCAAAGTTGGAGGTATAAAATATCAAGTTAAAAAACATATTTATGTATTATGCATATTTGAGAAGCTTGACAACAAATACGCAATCTATTTCTACTTCCTGTTCTTTACCTCCCTTTTTTGGCTAGTACCCGTTTTGTCATAGATTTCTCAAGTAAAATTTGGAGGAAAAATTGGCAAATAGTGTTTGTCCATACAATTTGCCATTATTTGGCAAATTTCCAAATACTAAAAAAAACTAGTATTTGGGTCAAATCTCATTATTTGAGATCTTTTAAAAATTCAAATTATACACTAAACTTTTGTCTTTTACAAAGACACCCTCTATAGTAGTTGTTTGTGGTCTATTACATAATTGTTTACGTGAACACCAAAGTAGTGATGAAATATTCTATGAAAGTGATGATATGATTGTTGGTGAACAATTGGGTCAGGGTAACAAAATTGTGTACTTTGTCTACTTCACGTTGTATGGAATGATGTTTGTTGCACTCACTCCAAACTACCACATTCCTCCATTGTCATGGACACTACTTGTTATTTGTTGCAACGAAGATCCAATTGACTTGTAATACAAACTTATGGTTAGTTTTGATAGTTTTTAAAACTTATGAATATAAATCATATTTTTTCTAAAAAGTGAAAATATGTTTTCCAAATATTATGGTCAAACACGTGGTGAAATTTTACCACTTCAAGAATCCTGTAACATGTGTTTTTTTTTCTTTTCCAGTTCCACTTCACATTTCCCTAAAACAATACAGAGGCACCAAGCCATTTCATTTAAAGCTCTGACAGAAAGGAAAGTTACAAAACCTTCAAAGGAGAAAAAGATAACATGGAAAGTATGCATTATAACGCGCACATGAGCAGAAGCCAAGATGGAAATGTGAAAATGAACTCTTCCCAAGATATAAACACTGCATGAGGATCATTGTTTGAAGGTTCAAACCATGATAGACAAGCTCGTACCTGAGCGAATTCAAGGCTGAACCCCCAACGGTAAAGCTTAGTTTATAATTTTATAGGTCCATCAACTAGAATACAGTGTAAAACGAAGAATGACAGAAATATGCATCTGTGAATCATGTCATATCGAAGGATAACACAACTGAGGTTCTTGCAGAATGATCAGAGACTGCAACTATGTTGGAATTTTGTCATATGAGGCTCTTCCAAGCATACTGATTTTACTTGGACAGCACTACTCTTATCTCATTTAAGCTGCATGCATCAAGCATTACAAATAAAAAATGGATTTTCTTATTTATAAATGACAAGGACATAATCCCATAAACAATAATTGGACTGACAGAGCGTGTAAGCATAAAGAAACATTCTTAGAAAGATGTGTAGATTTTGGTTCCAACTGTATGGACTATAGAACAGCTACTTAACTCAACCTCAAAAGTTGAAATGGAAGTCATTCCTATACTTTTAAAGACCAGTACGCCTCACAGTCGAATACTAAAAGTTAGCGCTATCAACAATACAGTCAGCTAGATTCTACATTTGCTCAAACTAGACTATTGGGTTCAACGTAAACTTTTCTAGTGAGAGGCAAGGTGGCTGAGTAAAGTGAACAACGGTGATACTGAAACACAAATGGTTGATAAACAAAATTCAACCTATGAATGGGCGGGTACAGCTCCGCTGCTTCCCAGTCCCATCTTCTGCCCCAGTACTCCAAGCTGCTCAATAAACTCACCTCCTGTAAGAATTTCTGTTGTCCCGTATATGATATGCTTGACTGGCTGTTGGCGATTGGCAAATTCTTGCAAGCTTCCATACTCCACGTAGTTTCCACCACCTATCATAAACACTATAGCTTCTTTAAATGGTCCTTTTAGATGACCGCTACTAGATGCAGAGCTTGACTTCGGTGCACGAGGATCAAGAAGAAGATAAGATTCATTTTCAGGATTTGGCTTCCCCTCCATTAATGCCTCTACTGCTCTCGGTAAAGCCAGCTGATGATCACTGGATAAAAGATTCTTCACACCTGCAGTAACAGCACTGATTGACTGCCCATAGAGTTTTTCAGCCCAATCAACAATGTTACTCGTACTTGCAGAATTTGCTGACGCAAAAGAGACATTCAATGATTTTATCTTCTTAACATACTGAAAAGCACTGGTATCGATCTCAGACTCCCTAAGTGCTGCTTCAATCATTTCGACTTCAGATTGAGGCATGCTTTCAGTTGAGATTAGATAAATTATAGCAAATCGCAGCTTATCCGCTTTACTCCCTTTTCCCTTGAGCACTCCAAGGAGCTCATTACGATCAATCCCGCCTCTCACCAGCATATCACTCTCTTTTTTAGCATACGAATCAAGGGATCTCTCTTTGATCTCGCCCAGTAATGAAGTAGCAATATTTGTGTGCTTATCAATCACTTGCTTTCGCTCAGTCAACTCAGGTAGGGAATTTACAGCATTCATCAAATGTTTAGTATTGCCAACCAAGTCTGTTCCATCAAACTCAGTCCCTCCGCTCCCCCCTGTTCGTTTATTTACCTCCTCAACATCCTTCTTGTACTTCCCCAATTGAGACTCTATCTTCACTGCAACCTCTGGAAACTCCAATGTCCAGTTGGCCATCCAAAATGGATCAGACCTGTCTAACTCATAGGATTTCATCCCACCCTTGTCTTCTTGCACATTTAATCTGTTCAATCTCAACCCAAGCACATCATGAACAAGTGGCCTATACCTAAAATCATGCTGTATCGCTACTGACAATTCAAAATTCCGATCAAATAAACACAAAACTGGCCTCTGAAATGAACTAGTGAAATTTGCACCCTCTGAAAACAAATTGTTCTTCGCCAACAAATGATCTCGCAGTCGCTGATCCAACAGGGATGCCACCATCTCAGCAGGCCCACCACGAGGGCACCTGATGACAGGGATAACAGCAAGAGTAGCCAACACACTAAACAACCCACTCACAATCTTTTCAACAATCTCATCAATTTCCTTATCCCCAGCTGAGGGATCATTTAACTGAAGATAACAGTTCTTGTAGGCAAGGGAGAACAAATTATCCTCAAGCGTGACAAACTCCAAGTACTGATCATGCACTTTCGCGATCCTCTCAATCGACTCTGAATTAATCGTACCTGAAGCAAAAAACAAGCATATCACTCAACGAGTTGAAATATTTGCAAATTATTTCAAGTATTTGTGTATCTATCTTGTCTATTATTTCAAAACTGCAAATTTGAAATTTAAAAGATAGGTATAAGGAATATTACATGTGAAATAATGGTCTCGGCGCACAAAAAATTCACTTTATTTTCCAAACAAGATTCATGTACAGACAATAGGAATTTCAACTTCAACTTATACTCTTTTCTTTTTTCTTTCTGATATCAACCAAATCAGATCCAATGCCTTACACCTAACAACTCCCAAAAAAACCACTTTTATTGGGGAAAAACCGTCAAATTAGGTCTTGCACCTAACTTGCAAGTCATTCCCCAAAAGCTAGCTCCGGATGGGAAGATTGTCTAAGTCCACCCATACGTTTTCATTCGATGTGGGACACTGAAACAAAAGCATAGGCTTTAGACTACAATGGTAAATAAGCTAACACCTTGGTTGGATGGTTGTTACCTTTTGCATTGTATTGTATTGATAGTTTAAGTATCATATTTGTTTTGATTGCTTCCTAAATTTATTGTATAATATCGCTTAACTTCATCCTTAGGTAATAACGAAAAGTATCATTTTGTGTAACCACTGATTTGGTGTGGTCGCGTCATTACCTTAATATTTTCATCTCATTTTGTATTTACTTATTACTTAATACTTATATTTATCAATCTATCCAAACATTATATTCATTAAAACAATATACAACACAGTACAATATGACACATTATGAAATAATATGTAAGATAAAGATGGAATTGAATCGGAACCTGAAGCGAGATCCTCGAGCAAAGGTCTAGGAATGGAAGACGAAAAATTCAAATGGAAAGAATCGTAAAGAGAGCTGGATGCATCGGAAATGATGCGCTGGACATTGAGGTGAGTGGGTTGGACGAAATATACAGCAGGAACATCGTGAACAGGCTTGCGATCCTTGTCAATGAGGAAATAGAGGGTAACTCCGTGCTTACGGAGGTCCTTCACATGAATCAGCGGCGATAAAATGTCCTGACAGAACCGATCGTAAATGATGATTTTGTAAACCTCCTCGTTGGCGGTGCCACCAGCATTCACCGGCTGATTCAGATTCAACATCCGCGTGATACACTCTGAACAATCAAATCAATCAACAAAAATTCAATTGAAAATCAAGTCTATATAGCTATATTCATTCCGCTCAATTCAAGTTTACCTGTATGTTTTTGACGAAGATTGAGCGCCATTTTCTTCGAATTTGATGTGTCCACTGCAAATTCAGTAAACTCCTTAAACTGTTTCCCTTTTTTCTTACTCTCTCAGAGTGTGGGACGATGATGTTCTGGGTTTTGAACAAGAGTTCTGTTTGCAAGTAATTATTGTACTCCCTATATTAAGCTTTTAGCCAAAATTGGCATAAATTAGGTCT